AGGAGAGTCATCAAGATAGCGGCAAGAAAACGGCACCAATCAATCCGCAAATTGACTCGAATTCTTACCAAGTCAGATAATAAGAGATCCCATATCATGGTTTACCGCCACCCGCCCTTTAACTTGGTTCTAGTGCCCTTCAAATTGAAAAAGACAACGAAACTGACGGGAAAATAACCAGTTCACCACCTTTCGCCTCACGCCAGATCGCGTCCACTGGTTGAAGAAAGATAAGGGTGAGGTGGTCTGGTTGGATGGGTAGCCGTTCGAGCTGTATTATCCTTTGAACCGTCAAATCGGCCATGTATGGGCGGCCAGCCGCTCGAACTTGCTGGCCTTCGCTGCCGTCAAACATCCGGACAATATCCAGAACTTGAGCATGTTCAGCTGCCTAGCGATGCTCCAATAGGACATAGTGTCACAAAATACTGCGATCAACTTCAAGTATTACCGGAGCAACATACTGGCCAATGAATGGTTGGAGGCGCTCAACGAGACGGTACAGGAGGGCTCGGTTTCTGAACGCGCACTGGTCATGGTGCCTGATTCAAGCCACGCTGTCTTCATGCGGGGCGGCGCGCTACTTAAAGTCCCTAAAAGAACGGGAAGTGATGCCGATAGAACCTTCAATCATTCTGGGCTAACGCTTATGACTTGGAAAAAGTCGCGATCCCAATTCAATCGAAAACCTGTGGGCTCTTGTTCAGCAGGTGACTGAAGAGACGCCCGCCACAAGCACCGCCCAACCGCAGGCACAGGTTTAGAGGGCGTCGCATCAAAGCCAGTGTGCTGGAGAATCCAGTGGCTGAAATGCTCCAGAACATTTGCCACTGTGTTTTTATGAAAGGTGGCTACATGCTCAGTTAAAAGAAAAAGTACCAGAATGTTTTGCTTTTTAATTACAGCGGGAAGAAAGGTGTCCGGATAATTTCGTTACACCCCCTGTAATGTTCAAATGGTTGCTAAATTCGAAATCAGCTCCAAAAACTAGCCTAGAAACATGTAGAACTCGAAAAAGTGAACCGAGGTCATCAAAGGTCATTGAGCTGACCTGAACTTCAGGTGACCTTGACACCCACCCTAATGCATGGGACCAGCATCATATCACATTTTTCGACGCTTGAAACCACGTAAAGACTGCAAACGCGCGGCTAATGCGAGCCGACATACGCCGAATCGCGATTCGGGCCAAACATGGTCTCGAGAAATACCTAGGTCACAGGTCAAAGGTCACTTGGGTCAGGGTCATGAAATTTTCAGGTTAGGTGTAAAATTGATAAAATCGGGGGTATTGAAAGTTTCGCGATCGGACGGTTTTACGCGAGTTACTCACGAAAAACCGATGGGGTCCGTTCAACGCCTCCCCCTATACGAGCGAGGGCAAAGCGCAACCAAAAGGCAAAAATATGCACATGCGATAACGTTTGTGTAGATAGGCAGAGTATCTTCATTTAGACATTGTTCATTGAACCGTGGTGCGAATTCTGCTTTTATGAGCTTCCGATTTGTGTGTTCGTATTTTCGGATCGTTTTCTTGAGAGATGTTGATAATTGTCCGATTATATTGGCAAAGGTTTCAGACATAACATGTATACAAAATTAAATTCTTTAAGCTTTCGAAGACATCTACGTCTTCATGATCACAAGGTTGAATTGTAAAAGCACAGAGCCTAAGTTTGCTATTAGAATCGAAGGGAGAAAAACTAAATACATATTGTGCGTGATAAATTGCTAAGGCCTCTTGCAGTCGTCACATTCAGTAAACACACTAACTAATATACCTACATCGTACACATTTTGGTAATATGACACCCTTCTATGCGCAGATACATAGATACCCTAAACGTCATATAGCCCTCCTAAATCCGATATCACTAATACCCATCGCATTGTTCAGCTCCAAAGCGTGAGTGTCGTGCACCCCGACTTGTAGAGCTGCTTGTTGATGTGAGGCGAGTACTCACGGATGTACAGCGCCTCCAACACCCACAGTCTTCGCTGGTCATGGGTAGAGCACAGTATTTCGGTATTGTCCACCAAAATTTGTCGTGTGATGTCCTTGTCATGTTCTTTGTGCATGTGATTCTTCAGTGCGCCTTGTTGTTTATGCATAGTAAGTCGTCTGGACAGGGATGTGGTAGTCGCGCCAATGTATTTATCTTTGTTGAGAAGTCTACAACCTTCTTCGGGGCAACTGAATTGACAAATTACATTGGCTTGCTGTAAGTGTCTGTTGTCCTTGTCTCGTGTCTTCTTCTTGAACATGTTGTTGACCATGACGAGATCTGCGGTTTTCCTCGTGTTGTAATATATGATGAGTGTCACTTTCTTCGCCTGGTCTGTCGGTTTGACGTTAGTCAAGATGAGATCTCGGATGACCCTCTCTTCCGTTTTGTAGGCTGTGTTCATTTGACTGCGGTAGAACAGTTTGATTTTCTCCGTTTTCTCCGTTTTGTCTTGACTTTTCTCATCGTTCTTCTGTCCACTTTCCTCGCACTCTTGCTGCTCACTCTGCTCACCTTTCTCGCTCCTCTGATGGCAGGCATCAAGTTGTCTTTTGATTTCATTATCGACGAGGTGATTGCTGTATCCATTGTTGACGAGGATTTGACGAGATCTGGTGAGCTCTGCATGGACATGTTGCCAAGATGAACTGTTGTTAACAGCTCGCCTGACAAATGCCTTGATCACACTCAGCTTGTACCGCTCAGGGCACTCGCTCTGAGCGCTGAGACAATGTCCTTCGTCCGTTGTCTTCCTGTAGACCGAGGTACTGCACATGCCGTCATCCAGCTTCTCGACCATGGTGTCGAGGAATGCAATCTTGTTGCCGCCGACCTCGTAGGTGAACCTTAAGACGGAAGCCTCTTCGAATGCCGTCTTCAGCGTCTTCAGATGCTCCTCATCACGGACGCAGACGAATATGTCGTCTACGTATCGAGCATACAGCTCTGGTGGTCCGTCCATGTTCTGTAGCACAGTGTTCTCGAGACGGGCCATGTAAAAGTTCGCGAACAATGGTCCGAGCGGCGACCCCATGGCTATGCCGTCCTTCTGACTATACAGCTTGCCGTCAGGTCCCCTGAACGCTGCCTCGGTGGTGCACATCAAGAGCAACTTCTTCAGTATGCTCTTCGATAGCTTCAGCGGTGGCAGAGTCGTCCCACTGTAGACGACATCGAGGATGATATCGATTGTCTCCAGAACAGGCACGTTGGTAAACAAACTCTCTACATCTAGCGAAGCCAGTGAGCCTTGCAGCTTGCGACCACGCAGGATGTCGAGAAATTCTTCAGTGGACTTCAGACTGTATTGGGCTGGGACGTATGGAGACAGAAGGCTGTTAAGCCTCTTCGCAACCTTGTACGTTGGTGTAGTCACTTGTGATATAATGAGTCTCAGTGGATTGTCCTTTTTATTTGTTTTCACGTTTCCGTACGCATAACCCGGTGTGTGTTCACCACTAATCTTGGAAAAGTGGATCTGGTCTTGTGCAGCATTTGCGCCTTGTATGATTCCGTTTGCTTTGGCTTTCATCTTGTCAGTCGGATCGGTTGTCAGCCGTTGGAATTTGGATGTGTCACTAAGAGTTTCATTCACCTGTTTCATGTACGTCTCTTTGTCGAGTATGACAAAATTCGATGCCTTATCAGCACGTCTGATAACAATATCTTCATTACCGCGACAAAACTCAACTCATTGCTCTTGGAAACCGTCAAAATTTGCGCAAACTTCCAAATTTCACAGTCGCCTTCCGTGACACAAATCTCGTGCCTTGTAACGAGGTGAAAAATCTGGGTGTGACTTTCGACTCAAACATGTCCTGGGACTGTCACGTGGGTGCCGTCAGCCGCCGCTGCACTGGGACCCTCATCGGTCTCTCACAGGTGCGACACGTCGTGCCCCGGGGCATACTCGTCTCTCTTGTGACAGCCCTGGTTCTCTCGCAGGTTCGCTATTGCATATCAGTTTATGGCAACGGCTCTAAAAAGAACACAGCTAGAATCCAAAAAATCCTTAACTTTGCAGCAAAAGTTATTTTCGGCCGGAGAAAATTTGACCATGCGAGTGACCTGCTGGAGAACCTGGGCTGGCTGGGGGCTCAGCAACTCGCTGAGTACAGTACGCTCTGCCTCACGCAGAAACTGCTCTCGAGTGGCGAGCCAGTCTCCCTCGCGGCCGTCCTCCGCTCGAACTCGGACGTACGTGAGCGCACGACCAGGCAGGACAGTCATCTCCATGTACCACGGTCAAGAACCGAGGCGGGGAAACGGCGTTTCTGTGCGAGAGCCCCGAGGCTTCACAACCAGCTGCCACCTGAGACCGTTTCCCTCAGAGGGAAACGCTTCCAACGAGCCCTGAAGCGACAGATGCGGAGCCGGACGCTGTCTTTAAACTGAAGTAAGGTCGTCTGACTCAGTGTGTGTGCGTGTGTGTGTGTGACTTGGTATGTTTCGGTTGGATGACTAATTGTTTTGTACACATCTGGTATCTACCCTATTCTCTGACTCGGAGCTTGAAAAGCCACTGTTGCTGTGGAGTGCTCTTCAAAATAAATACAAATACAAATACAAATACCGCGTAACTGCTTGGCAGCCTCCTTGAGCTCTTTTGTCATGAGTTTTGACTTGCTATTTCCTCTGAGTTTAGTGCTTTCACCGATAATTCTTTCCCGGAGGTCTTTATCAACGGTGACCTTCTTCTCTTGCTCTAGCTTAACAATGTCATCGTATAGCATTTCTAGAGAAGCCTTTTTCTCTAGGACACTGTTCTTAGACTGAAAATGACACTTAATGCCAAGATTCAGGAAGTCTTTTTGCATTCCTCTGGAATGCAAAAAGACGTAGACGTCTTTTTGCATTCCTTTGGACGTAGACGACATATTCGTCTGCGTCCGTGATGAGGAGCATCTGAAGACGCTGAAGACGGCATTCGAAGAGGCTTCCGTCTTAAGGTTCACCTACGAGGTCGGCGGCAACAAGATTGCATTCCTCGACACCATGGTCGAGAAGCTGGATGACGGCATGTGCAGTACCTCGGTCTACAGGAAGACAACGGACGAAGGACATTGTCTCAGCGCTCAGAGCGAGTGCCCTGAGCGGTACAAGCTGAGTGTGATCAAGGCATTTGTCAGGCGAGCTGTTAACAACAGTTCATCTTGGCAACATGTCCATGCAGAGCTCACCAGATCTCGTCAAATCCTCGTCAACAATGGATACAGCAATCACCTCGTCGATAATGAAATCAAAAGACAACTTGATGCCTGCCATCAGAGGAGCGAGAAAGGTGAGCAGAGTGAGCAGCAAGAGTGCGAGGAAAGTGGACAGAAGAACGATGAGAAAAGTCAAGACAAAACGGAGAAAACGGAGAAAATCAAACTGTTCTACCGCAGTCAAATGAACACAGCCTACAAAACGGAAGAGAGGGTCATCCGAGATCTCATCTTGACTAACGTCAAACCGACAGACCAGGCGAAGAAAGTGACACTCATCATATATTACAACACGAGGAAAACCGCAGATCTCGTCATGGTCAACAACATGTTCAAGAAGAAGACACGAGACAAGGACAACAGACACTTACAGCAAGCCAATGTAATTTATCAATTCAGTTGCCCCGAAGAAGGTTGTAGACTTCTCAACAAAGATAAATACATTGGCGCGACTACCACATCCCTGTCCAGACGACTTACTATGCATAAACAACAAGGCGCACTGAAGAATCACATGCACAAAGAACATGACAAGGACATCACACGACAAATTTTGGTGGACAATACCGAAATACTGTGCTCTACCCATGACCAGCGAAGACTGTGGGTGTTGGAGGCGCTGTACATCCGTGAGTACTCGCCTCACATCAACAAGCAGCTCTACAAGTCGGGGTGCACGACACTCACGCTTTGGAGCTGAACAATGCGATGGGTATTAGTGATATCGGATTTAGGAGGGCTATATGACGTTTAGGGTGTCTATGTATCTGCGCATAGAAGGGTGTCATATTACCAAAATGTGTACGATGTAGGTATATTAGTTAGTGTGTTTACTGAATGTGACGACTGCAAGAGGCCTTAGCAATTTATCACGCACAATATGTATTTAGTTTTTCTCCCTTCGATTCTAATAGCAAACTTAGGCTCTGTGCTTTTACAATTCAACCTTGTGATCATGAAGACGTAGATGTCTTCGAAAGCTTAAAGAATTTAATTTTGTATACATGTTATGTCTGAAACCTTTGCCAATATAATCGGACAATTATCAACATCTCTCAAGAAAACGATCCGAAAATACGAACACACAAATCGGAAGCTCATAAAAGCAGAATTCGCACTACGGTTCAATGAACAATGTCTAAATGAAGATACTCTGCCTATCTACACAAACATTAAGACACACGACCCGGCAGTAAAAGATGAGGCTTTTACAAAAGACTTCCGGAAAGAACTGATTTGTAATCAAATACAACTAAAGAAAGATCCAATTAAAAGACTCAAAGATGATAAGAGTAAGTTGGAACATGAACTGTCAGAAGCTAACTTACCGCCAAGTGTTCGTGAGCAGATCATGGAGCATTTGGCCACAAGTGAAGCGAACACAAAGCACAACAACAAGATTAAAACTGGCAAAAAACTATCCAAGCTCTATGGTGGGTCCCTTGCCATGCCGGAAAACAAAGATCGCTTCATAAACTTATCTCAAGTTGAGTTATCTGATGCGCAAAAAGACTTCCTGAATCTTGGCATTAAGTGTCATTTTCAGTCTAAGAACAGTGTCCTAGAGAAAAAGGCTTCTCTAGAAATGCTATACGATGACATTGTTAAGCTAGAGCAAGAGAAGAAGGTCACCGTTGATAAAGACCTCCGGGAAAGAATTATCGGTGAAAGCACTAAACTCAGAGGAAATAGCAAGTCAAAACTCATGACAAAAGAGCTCAAGGAGGCTGCCAAGCAGTTACGCGGTAATGAAGATATTGTTATCAGACGTGCTGATAAGGCATCGAATTTTGTCATACTCGACAAAGAGACGTACATGAAACAGGTGAATGAAACTCTTAGTGACACATCCAAATTCCAACGGCTGACAACCGATCCGACTGACAAGCTGAAAGCCAAAGCAAACGGAATCATACAAGGCGCAAATGCTGCACAAGACCAGATCCACTTTTCCAAGATTAGTGGTGAACACACACCGGGTTATGCGTACGGAAACGTGAAAACACATAAAAAGGACAATCCACTGAGACTCATTATATCACAAGTGACTACACCAACGTACAAGGTTGCGAAGAGGCTTAACAGCCTTCTGTCTCCATACGTCCCAGCCCAATACAGTCTGAAGTCCACTGAAGAATTTCTCGACATCCTGCGTGGTCGCAAGCTGCAAGGCTCACTGGCTTCGCTAGATGTAGAGAGTTTGTTTACCAACGTGCCTGTTCTGGAGACAATCGATATCATCCTCGATGTCGTCTACAGTGGGACGACTCTGCCACCGCTGAAGCTATCGAAGAGCATACTGAAGAAGTTGCTCTTGATGTGCACCACCGAGGCAGCGTTCAGGGGACCTGACGGCAAGCTGTATAGTCAGAAGGACGGCATAGCCATGGGGTCGCCGCTCGGACCATTGTTCGCGAACTTTTACATGGCCCGTCTCGAGAACACTGTGCTACAGAACATGGACGGACCACCAGAGCTGTATGCTCGATACGTAGACGACATATTCGTCTGCGTCCGTGATGAGGAGCATCTGAAGACGCTGAAGACGGCATTCGAAGAGGCTTCCGTCTTAAGGTTCACCTACGAGGTCGGCGGCAACAAGATTGCATTCCTCGACACCATGGTCGAGAAGCTGGATGACGGCATGTGCAGTACCTCGGTCTACAGGAAGACAACGGACGAAGGACATTGTCTCAGCGCTCAGAGCGAGTGCCCTGAGCGGTACAAGCTGAGTGTGATCAAGGCATTTGTCAGGCGAGCTGTTAACAACAGTTCATCTTGGCAACATGTCCATGCAGAGCTCACCAGATCTCGTCAAATCCTCGTCAACAATGGATACAGCAATCACCTCGTCGATAATGAAATCAAAAGACAACTTGATGCCTGCCATCAGAGGAGCGAGAAAGGTGAGCAGAGTGAGCAGCAAGAGTGCGAGGAAAGTGGACAGAAGAACGATGAGAAAAGTCAAGACAAAACGGAGAAAACGGAGAAAATCAAACTGTTCTACCGCAGTCAAATGAACACAGCCTACAAAACGGAAGAGAGGGTCATCCGAGATCTCATCTTGACTAACGTCAAACCGACAGACCAGGCGAAGAAAGTGACACTCATCATATATTACAACACGAGGAAAACCGCAGATCTCGTCATGGTCAACAACATGTTCAAGAAGAAGACACGAGACAAGGACAACAGACACTTACAGCAAGCCAATGTAATTTATCAATTCAGTTGCCCCGAAGAAGGTTGTAGACTTCTCAACAAAGATAAATACATTGGCGCGACTACCACATCCCTGTCCAGACGACTTACTATGCATAAACAACAAGGCGCACTGAAGAATCACATGCACAAAGAACATGACAAGGACATCACACGACAAATTTTGGTGGACAATACCGAAATACTGTGCTCTACCCATGACCAGCGAAGACTGTGGGTGTTGGAGGCGCTGTACATCCGTGAGTACTCGCCTCACATCAACAAGCAGCTCTACAAGTCGGGGTGCACGACACTCACGCTTTGGAGCTGAACAATGCGATGGGTATTAGTGATATCGGATTTAGGAGGGCTATATGACGTTTAGGGTATCTATGTATCTGCGCATAGAAGGGTGTCATATTACCAAAATGTGTACGATGTAGGTATATTAGTTAGTGTGTTTACTGAATGTGACGACTGCAAGAGGCCTTAGCAATTTATCACGCACAATATGTATTTAGTTTTTCTCCCTTCGATTCTAATAGCAAACTTAGGCTCTGTGCTTTTACAATTCAACCTTGTGATCATGAAGACGTAGATGTCTTCGAAAGCTTAAAGAATTTAATTTTGTATACATGTTATGTCTGAAACCTTTGCCAATATAATCGGACAATTATCAACATCTCTCAAGAAAACGATCCGAAAATACGAATACACAAATCGGAAGCTCATAAAAGCAGAATTCGCACTACGGTTCAATGAACAATGTCTACATGCGATAACCTATACTGCGAAAAAAGGTGCATCATTTTTGAACGTCGCCGACAAATTGTAATTACCCCAAGCTCGGGCAGTTGTATGGTAGAAAATACCCCAAGTGAAATACACTACGGCGGAAATAAAATACCCTACGGCGGAGCTCGGTTGCAATTTGTAAATACGCCAGCGGGAGAGGGGCGAGTATTAGACGAATATAAAGCACACGGTAATATTACCGCGCCGCTGGCCGCGTTCAAGCCCGGCCGCCGCTCAACCGGTAAAAATGCGTCGAAAACGGTATAATCATTGCTCTGTTTCTTAGAACCCTTGATGACTTTTTGAAAATATTTTGGGTGGATATTGATCAGAAAAGTGTTCTTTCGATCTGGGGTAGATTTATAGCCATAAGTCGACGTTATCAATACATTATGACGGTGCAAAGGTGAGCATGAACGTAACACGTCAAACCCTCAATTTGTAAGCGTTTAATTATGAAGATGTGCGAGTGAATGGGCAAAAATATATATTTTCTGAACAGTTCAGATCCTCTTGTAGTCCCGTGTCATTCCAATGCATCGTTTTCAAATGCCAACGTTTTTCCTGAAATGTGTAAAAAATGCCCGTTTTCTCGAGATTAGAGGCTATTTCTTTGCACGTGGTACATACCTAAGAAAAAAACTTATTGCATAATGCATACGATAGACCAATCTCTTCTGTATCCATCAGTGAAAACCGCATGTGGCTGCGACTTACGGTTGCCGAGATATAAGCTCGGGAAAGGAGCGCTGCAGGCCCGATTTTCGCCCGATCACGATTTTCGCCGACCCAATGTTATCTCTATGGGAGCGCCCTTTTGCACGTGCCGACGGGACACCCCTGGTCCGATCACCCCCAAATTTTAATACAGAGGTCCCCCACGCCCACAGAATCGGCATGCCAAATTTCAAGTCGCTACGCTGCGCCGTTCCGACGCTATTAGACAGTTTAGGCATGACACACGCACGCACAGACATGTTATAAATCATAATATAGACTAGATGGCATGTTTCGCGCTATAACTGTGCGTTTTGATAGATAGGTTTACGGGGGCCATCAGTTTGGGTGTAGAAACTTCGATTTTATTTGCAGAATTGGGGTAGAGTTGGATATTTGTTTTAATTGAGCGGTATGGGGTATCGGTGCTGGTTACGAGTTGCTAGAGCCTTTCGTGAGTTGGGCCCTTATTGCACTCAACTCTATCCTACCCTACACTACTCTACCCTACCCTACCCTACCCTACCCTGCCCTACCATACCCTACCCATACCCTTCCTTACTCATAACCTACAAATGGTAACCCTTCTCATATCCGGTTAAAGTAATGTACCAAATTTGAGCGCAATCGGCTCAGCCGTTCTTGAGATATAAAAGCGGCCCGCTGCACGTGCGCACGCGCGAAATGAGACTCCAGATGACTTGTGCCAGCGGTGCCAGCCACCTTTCTAAATTTCCCTATCAGTGTACAAAATTTGAGCGAAATCGGCCCAGCCGTTCTTGAGATGTATAAATGGACCCCTCACGTGCGCACGTGCAATCGATCCACACTGCCTGTCACACATGACCATGCATCGCCAGGGTATTGCCCACTCCAGCCACAGTCCAAGTTTCAGTTCAATCGGCCCAGTAGCTGCTGAGTTATTCCTAGTACAAAAATGTACTGTTTACTGCTTAGCGCTTATTTAAAGTATTTGGGATTCCGCTGGGCGGGCGGTGCATTGCAGCCCATGCTTTGATAGCTATTGTCAAAAGTTGTATGACCTGCCGGCCATAAGCCCCCCCCCCCCGCTCTCGGCGCGCTCGGCTGGCCCAACATTGGGGAAGTGATCGCGCGCAGGGACGCAGTGAATGTGCATCGCGCCCTGTATGCCGCTGGTGCCCCTGACTCGCTACGGGCAATGTTTCGCCCACGAGCCGTCGTCTCAGAGAGGGCCACGCGTGCCACCGCTGCGGGCTCGGCGGTGATCGACTTGCCCCGAGTCCGCCTGGCGGTGGCTCGGCGGCAGTTCCCGTACAGAGCCGCGGCGGCTTGGAACGGGCTGCCGCGAGAGGTGACGGGGACCGCCTCCAGGGCACAGCTGATGCGGTTCTTCCGATAGAGATATGTCGCCACCTTAGTGTTTTTTTAGTACCATTGTACATTTTGTGTGTCTTTTACTATGATGATTTTTGTGACTTAGGTACTCTCATATTGCTTGTATTGACTGGGCCGTAATAGCCACCTGTGGATCAGCCCTAATAAACGAATTACGAAATTACGAATTACGAATCGGATTTTGTCGAAAAATACCCGCTACGTTAACAAAACACGGTCGTCTGTTTGAGTCATTTTCACAAAAGTTTATAGACTTTTCGAAAATGTTTTAGGTGGATATTGGTCAGAAAAGAATGCTTTTTCCGAATATATAGGTTTCATAGCGATTGGTCAGCGTTTTCAATACGTTTTGATGTTGTAAAGGACATCGCGCTCCGCGCGAATCAAATTTTCAAATTAATTTTTCATTATTAAAGAAATGGTACGGATCATCACTTTTTATCTGCTATCCTCTGATTACACGTACATTTGCCTGCAAAATGGCACCACACCGATTTCATTCCGTCAAGCCGTTTCCCAGCGGCATCGATTTTCCCGTCACAATGCACGAAATCGGTCATTTTTTCACAACCGGGGGTGCTGCCTTGCACGTGACGCGTGCTATACTATGAAACCATATCAATACGCTAGTTCCATCTCTTCTCTATCCATTGGTGGCAACCGCTTTTCGATGCGTCTACCCATTGCCGAGATATCAAGCCGGAAAGCGAGCCGTGTCGGCCCGATTTTCGGCCGACCGCCGCTCTCGCCGACACCATGCTATCCCTATGAGAGCACCCTTTTGCACGTGCTGAAGGCGCACCCCTGGGCCGATCACCCCCAAATTTTAATACAAAGGCCGCCCACGCCCACAGATTCGGCATGCCAAATTTCACGCCGATACGCGGCGCCTTTCAGGCGCAATAAGACACATAAGGCATGACACACGGATGGAGAACGCACGGACGACTTATAATTCATAATATAGATAGATAGACTAGATGGCATGTTTTGCGCTATAACTGTGCGTTTTGATAGATGCGTTTGAGGGGGCATTAGTTTGGGTGTATGCGGTTATATTTTTATTTGTATGAGCTAGGTGAAGTTTGACATTTGGTTTTAATTGAACTGTATGGTATGCTGGTGCTGATTACCGGGTTGTTTGAGTCTTTCGGATGTTGGGCCCTTATGCACTCAAACTTAACATACACTGCAATACCCTACCCTACCCAGGATTGATGGATGGACACACGCGATAACTGTACGTTTCGATGGCCATTGTTCATGGGGCCATTAGTTTGATGTATGAGGTTATATTTTCATTTGTATGAGTTAGGTGAAATTTGATACTTTAAAGTGTATGGTATGCTGGTGCTGATTACGGGTTGTTTGAGTCTTTCGCATGCTGGCCGCTTATGCACTCAACCTTACCATACGCTACACTACCCTACCCTACCCAGAAGCTCTACATACTCAACACATACCAAACCATACTTTACTTCTTGCCTTACCCGTAAGACGCTGGTTGTATCAGTCACCACCGCGACTGAGAAGATGCTGTCGGAGAATCCAGCGCAGCGCTTGTGCGTCCTTTTGTCTTCAGCGGGGCTGACACTAAGTCATGTCGTGATAAGAAGTGGAAGCAGCTGCAGTGTGCAGGTGACAGTACATGACAGGTTTCTGCAACGTAATCAAATCTGGTGAATACAACAGTGAAATACTTACGTGTCGCTCTGTGTGGCTATTAGCTTTTACCCCGCAACCCGCCACGTGGAGGCTGCCACATCGGATTGCGTCTCTATTTAACGCCCGAGACCCCTCACCGGGTGCAGAGCGCACACCTCTGGTGAGGGAAGACACGGCGGCCGTGGGCAGCGGCAATAAGGCCCCCCGAGAAGTACTCGGTGTGTGCTACTCGCAGCCGATTGTATAGCTGGGGGCAAAAGCCCATTGTTAGATGTGCTCTCAAATATCAAAATATATCATCAAATATCAAATATATCATCAGAGCATATCAAACATGTTTTATAACATGCCACTCAATACATTGATTTATCCTCAAAATATAAGTTGCGCTCGCGCATTGGAGGTCACCAAAGCCAGTTGCGGCATTATGTTAATGTGTAAATTTTCCACTTGGCGGCGCATTGGCTCGCCAGGATTGATCCGTCCTGCATCACGGTCGGCCGGCCGTTTTCTCCTCGTTGCTCCTCGCTCCTCCTCTCCACGTTGCTCGTAGCGCTCTGGCTACCCGTCGCCTCTGCGACCCGTGGATCTACCGGCCATCACCTCGGCCCATCACCTCCGTGTACACCACATTGGGTGTTGCGCCTTGGCCACCTCTGGGCAGCGCGATCCTCAGATCCGCCGGCCGGCCGACCCGCGATGCAGCCACGTACAGTAGGTCTACTAAAAAAGTCCCCCGCTCCAGAGGCGGCTGGCCGGCCGAACCCCCGGATTCCAGCCCCGACTCTATTGCGCAGGCCGCGGCAGCGCGACACGGGTCAGGTCGCGGCGCCCGGCGAGTGGGTCAGTTGGCGGCGGCCGGCCGTGGAGTAAGGACGCCGCGTGTGGGGCGCAGAGATGCCGTAGTGCAGAGGAGGGGGAAGATAGTGACTCTGCACTATGCCGGAAATGATGCCTTTGTGATCTAAATTTAACACCTTCAGTGGATATCTTCCCTTGCCCCATTTCTATTTTACCACAATCCTTCAATAATCCGTAATGACCATTCAACGCAGGCAAGCAAACAAAACAACCCGTTTAGCGGCGACATCATCTCGGATAAAAAAGCGACAGTGATGATTAGAATAGACTAAGCGCGAGGGCAAATCGAGGTGTATATATGATATACCGAGTATTTTATTCCCATCTAGCGAATTAAGATTGGAGATCTTGTCCAACAAGTCAGCGGCCGTTCTAGACACAGATAAATGCTTTGTTTTCGGTCGCGTCAGACATGTGCATGGATCTGAGAAAATGGATCTGAGATCTAATCCCACGGATCCTGACCTCGGATCCGTCGGGATCATAGATCCAGCTCTGTAATTTATCGAGAGATCCGTAGGGATCACAGATCCGAGTCTAGTAATTTTGCTCGAGATCCAGTGAGATCATAGATCCTCACTTATTTTTGTCAACACAGAAATCCCCAAAAAATCACTCGTTGCAACTCACAAACGTTCTTATTTTGTGATTTTAGGTGATAGCACGTCATAATCCATAGTTTTATGGCACTTATTGACATAGAAGCACTTGGAAACCTGGTTTCAAATGTTGTGCATGGTGGGATCCACTCAGATCATAGATCCATGTTCTTGAATTATCGTCAGATCCTGTGAGATCATAGATCCAGGATAAATTTTTCACGCAGAATTCGGTGGGATCATAGATCCGAATCTGAAATTTGCCTCTCAAGATCCACTGAGATCATAGATCCATCACTCGGATCCATGCACATGTCTGGGTCGCATCATTATCTGCAATAATTCGAAGCGAGGCTTAACCCTCGCCGGCCGAGAAGAAGGGTTGGATGCCGCCACCATGTATTTTTTTGCGGTAGTTCAAAGCACACTGATGATAGAAGGCTGACATTTCATATGCCTTACATCTGATTCAAGCCGGATCATTTGACATCAACCGCGTTTTCAGGTCAGGTCACTTAACTATGACATCTTAACCCTCGCCCGTATTGGTGTTTTTCAGCCGCGAACGTATAAGGGGGGGGGGGGGAACGGACCCCCTTGCCGTTTCGCCCCTGATCGAGCTAGAGCTTCGCGGAAAAAAAAGCGAGCGTGCTGCCCGTGACGAGAGGAAGCCGATGCTACCCAATTTTAAGGTCCTAGGTCATCGGTTGACCTTCCAGGTCAGGTCAATGACCCAAAAGTCGGGAAAATCGGGACCTGTTAGAAAGTCGTAAAGCGTGGCTGCTATGGGGTTTTCGGGGTGCTGATCACGAATATCATGTTAGTTTTGATCACAGATGATGTCTTCATGCATTTAGGCCAGGTCGGGTCAGGTCAGGTCAGGTCAACCAGTAAGGGTATTCGTATTAGGTGGCAACCGCCTCTGACAGCTTCTTAACATGTTACGAAGGTGCCAAAACTACTTCGTAAATGCTCATATGGTTGCTAAATTCGAATTCAGCTCCAAAAACTGGCCTAGAAACATGTAAAACTCGAAAAAGTGAACCGAGGTCATCAAAGGTCAATGACCTGACCTGACCTTCAGGTGATCTTGACACCCACCCTAATGCATCGGAGCAACATCAAATCACATGTTTGAACGCTTGAAACCACGAAAAGCTTGCAAACGCGCGGCTAATGCGAGCCGACATACGCCGAATCGCGATTCCGGCCAAACATGGTCTCGGAAAAGAGGTCACAGGTCAAAGGTCATTAAGGTCAGGGTCATGAAAATTTTAGAGTAGGTGTAAAATTGATTAACGCGAGGGTACTGAAAGTTTCGTCGCGATCGACCGCTTTTTACGCGAGTTATTCGCGAAAAACCAAGGGGCGGTCCGTTCGACTCGCCCCCTATACGGGCGAGGGTTAAGTAAACCTCTGCATGATTGTCGGTTATAAAATGATGCAAATCCGCAATGCACTTAGTGTCATATAAGCATAATGGGGAAATATGGAAACTGTTAATTTGGCGTCGGAAATGATCTGAAACTATACCTCAAGCACATGCAATCGTGACTTCATACATTCTTGGCAAGGTCTATGCTTCACTTTTGCATTGTTCACCTTGCGTGACGTCATTTATGACGTCAAGGTCACCTGAAGGTCAGGTCAGGTCATTGACCTTTGGTGACCTCGGTTCACTTTTTCGAGTTTTGCATGTTTCTAGGCTAGTTTTTGGAGCTGAATTCGAATTTAGCAACCATTTGAATATTTACGAAGTAGGTTTGGTGCCTTCGTAACATGTTACGAAGCTCTCAGAGGCGATGACAGGTATTACGAATACCCGTCACGACCCCTACCGGTTGACCTGACCTGACCTGAACTGACCTTACCCGACCTGGTCTAAACGCTTAACGACATCATCTGTGATCAAAACTAACACGATATTTGTGATCAGCACCCCGGAAAACCCCTTAGAAGCCACGCTTTACAACTTTCTAACAGGTCCCGATATTCCCGATTTTTGGGTCATTGACCTGACCTGGAAGGTCAACCGATGACCTAGGACCTTAAAATTGGATATCATTGGCTTCCTCTCGTGACGGGTAACACGCTCATTTTTTCCGCGAAACTCTAGCTCCACCAGGGTCATGAAATTTTCAGGGTAGGTGTAAAATTGATTAACGCGAGGGTACTGAAAGTTTCGTCGCGATCGGCCGCTTTTTACGCGAGTTATTCGCGAAAAACCATGGGGGGGTCCGTTCGACCCCCCCCCCCCTATACGGGCGAGGGTTAACCCAATATCTTCAAAAATAGCCAAGTTATTTGCATTATGGTCGAAATTTTACAATTATATATTTTTCAAAACCATTTTCAGCACGTCATTGATATCGTAGAGCAATATAAATGGCACCATCGTGTTCCTGAGCTCAAACTGCATCTGATAGACACCTTTTTTGTTGAAAAATTCATTTTCAAAATTTGACCTATTCTGACTGAGTGACCTGACCTCCGGTAAATTCAGGTGAAAATGACCTCAAATGACACAGACGACATTGTTTTCGAAATCTACGAGTAAAATGGATCACAAAACATGCGTCACGTGACCGATACATGATGTGACCTAGGATGACCTGGCCTTGACCTGAAAAAATTGAAATAAAAGTTCGGTACCCTGAGGGTATCTAAGGCATATATATTAAGGAGTGCGTAAACCAAAAGTGAGCCTGATCGGACTTGTCAGCCGGTGGTCAGAGCTAAATTGTGAACAAGCAAAAATGCCGATAATTTTTACTTTGACCTGACCTGTGACGTCATCGGTGACCTAGAGGTCAATGAATGTTTGTTTCAATGAATGTTTCGCTCGACGGTTTTTCTCAGATGCCATTTGAATTTTGACGTTCGGCCCAGTAGTTTCGGAGATAGGAGGGGGGTCTCTGGAGAGCCCCCCAGTCACTCGCGTTATGGAAAATACCCCAGTCATGCGCGGGTTTGGGCCAAGGAACAGTTTTGAATGCGTTTAGGCGAAAATTGAACCACAGATTCGGATTCATCAACTCAAGAAACCCCACGAAACACAGCTCATATCACAAAGGTCATCGTGTGAACATGCGAGGTCATTGATCTTGGTTGACCTTAGAAAGGTCAATATACAATGTAAAGATTCATTCCTGTCAAAAGCTGACATAAATCACACGGAATAGTTTCGTTCTCGTCGATTATATCACGTCCTGATACGCAGAATGTACGATTATGTATAAAAAACGGTCGGAGGTTGTACCTGTTATGTCATAGCTCGGTGACCTCACATGATCCGAACATAATTTTTTACCAAAAGTTGCGCAAAGGATGCCCCACAGGCTATAAAAAAATCAGCACGATCCGGCTATTGGTTCAGTGCCCATCGCAAAAACCTGGGGGGGGGGGATCACATCGACACCTCCCCCCCCCCCGCCTGCCAGGGAGAGGGTTAGAGGCGAGACGACACGGCAAAGGAAATAGACACTGTTCCGAGAATAAGGATCGGTCACAACCCCATTGTGGCACAATGCTCATTGCTGATGTACTCACATCCCCGCGTCGGCGCTGGACACCGACGGTGGAACGACGTCCGTGACCTCCGAAGGAGCCGGAGCATCATCAGGGTCGACGGTCGTTTGCAGCCACTCCTCAACGTGGCTGGAAAAGCAAAATTAACCCTCGCATGTGTAGGGGGGGGGTCGGATGGACCCCCCCCATGGTTTTTCGCGAATAACTCGCGTAAAAAGCGGCCGATCGCGACGAAACTTTCAGTACCCTCGCATTGATCAATTTTACACCTACCCTGAAAATTTCATGACCCTGACCCAAATGACCTTTGACCTGTGACCTCTTTTCCGAGACCATGTTTGGCCGGAATCGCGATTTCGCGTATGTCGGCTCGCACTAGCCGCGTGTTTGCAAGCTTTTCGTGGTTTCAAACGTTCAAACATGTGATTTGATGTTACTCCCGTGTGTGTCAAGGTCACCTGAAGGTCAGGTCAGGTCATTGACCTTTGGTGACCTCGGGTGACCTCGGGTCACTTTTTCGAGTTTTACATGTTTCTAGGCTAGTTTTTGGAGCTGAATTCGAATTTAGCAACCATTTGAACATTTACGAAGTAGTTTTGGTGACTTCGTAACATGTTACGAAGCTGTCAGAGGCGGTTGACACGTACTACGAATACCCGTCACGACGCCTACTGGTTGACCTGACCTGACCTGACCCGACCTGGTCTAAATGCTTCAAGACATCATCTGTGATCAAAACTAACACGATATTCGTGATCAGCACCCCGAAAAACCCCTTAGCAGCCACACTTTACGACTTTCTAACAGGTCCCGATTTTCCCGACTTTGGGTCATTGACCTGACCTGGAAGGTCAACCAATGACCTAGGACCTTAAAATTGGGTATCATCGGCTTCCTCTCGTCACGGGCAACACGCTCGTTTTTTCCGCGAAGCTCTAGCTCGATCAGGGGCCAAACGGCAAGGGGGGGGTCCAACCGACCCCCCCCCCTACACATTAGAAGCTGGCAAACGCCGCACACATGCGAGGGTTAAGAATGGTAATACACCATGTGAATTATGAAATATTAATAAGAGTACAATGTAAGCGAAGCTTACATAATTGACACGCAAGCATAACCTGCATAGCGTACTTGACAATATAACTTATGAATATAAACATATGAACCTACAGCGTTCGTCAGAACATAGATGGCACGGCACCTGTTTTGTCTTGCTTCCTATTGTTTGTTTGTTTGTTGGGGGTTAGGGGTGCGCCGACTACGAGGTCATTTTGCGCCCATGTCTTGCTTCCTATAAATCTTTATGTACTTGGATTCCTATTTAAACTTCGTTTTTCCTGCAGTTTATATCTTTTACTTTTTTACATGCTACCAATACTACTACCACCACCACCACCACCAACAGAAGTTCTTGACAAAATGTGGCTCCTGGCACAACGAACATAAACAAGATAATTGCACACATCTAGGGAAAACCTACATACCGGTTCGATCTCATCAGTCTCGGCGGCGGTTGTGCGATCTCGCGGTTAGAGGTGTCGTCGTCGTCGTCGTCGTCTTGATCCCTGGATCCTGGCTCCCAATCCTCAGAAGACGACAGGCTGGAGAAACAGTGAATAAGCTAGTTGATGTAGGCTGCTCTTCACTTGAGCCAGCACAGGGAAAAACGAAACACTAAAAATAAAAATAAGACCATACGTCATCAAAATACCTACAGGGAAACAGGATCATCTTAACTTTCAGAGATGGAATCCTACTTTTATCCCTCGTAAGTGATTTTTTTGCTCTGACGTACAAGTTTACACATGATTAGAATATTTGCCGCTTGAAAAAAATAACAAATGTGTATTTGTGACGTCTTTTAACCCGCGCACCGACTGAGCAGTCACGCGGAACTTCGTGAAGAAACGCTCTGCGGTTCTTCACTCTTAACGAAAACCACAGGCGGGGGGGGGGGGGGGAGGACAATCTGTGCGCGGGGTAAACTTGCAAATGATTTGGAAAACTTGAACAAAATACACTGTTTGTTTGTTTTATTTGTTTATTAGGGCTTTAGGGCGCGTCGACTGCGGTGGTCATTTTGCGGAACAAAATCACTACAATCAATTTGATAGACACTTGAAAGTTTGCACGCGATTAAAGAAATAAGCGTAGCAAAAAAAAAGTGGAAATTAGCGATTACACTTACATCAGCGTATCGGTTGCAGCACTTCCAGCTCGTTCGGTCATAGGAAGGGCCTTGACAACGGCTGACGGCCCTGTGGAAAAAAATATAAAATGTGAATTCAGGTCATTTTCAGGTCAGGTCAAACATGACATCACAGGGGTAAAAAGAAAGTCAAAATAACGGAACTACATTTAAATGAAGTTTTTTTTCTCGAATAACTTTCGAAGTATCTAAGCTAGGAACAAACTAATAGCACCATCGTGATCCTCTCGTCGATCCGCATCGAAACATATGTATGTTGACCTCGAAAGGTCAAGGTCAAAAGTTGACCTTAGGTCATGTGACCCTAAGGTCATCATATCAATCGATGCGCTTGACGAGCTGAACACAATGAGCCCATCCGCGCGGCTGTATCTTGTTGTCAAGTATGTCATATGTCAGTAACATATATAACTGACCTCCGTGGTCAAGGTTGACCTAAGATGAAATTGGTATCATTCACTGCATATAATCACGCCCAGCAAACCCATTTTTCTGCTAAGTTCAACTTCAATTAGAAATGAAACGGCAAGGACCTCGTAGCACATAAACACCGCCCTGCCTGGGGCGTATATAAGAAAACATAATGTATGGCAAGTGTTACCATTGCCCCAGTACTAAAAAGACCTGGGTTTGGTGTTTCTTTAATTATCAAATAAGCAACCATAAACAAACTGCTCATGAACAACTATGTTCACTAAGTGACGTCATCAGCCAAATTTTAGTAAAAAACAGCGAGCAGTTCGCGAACGTTTATGAAAACCCCCTCCCTGACCGTTCCGCTACTAATAAACGTTCACGAACTGTTCGTGAGCAGAGAATTGTTAGTGAACATGTGACGTGGAATGAAGAAATCGTAAACTGTGAAAAAAATTGTTAACGAATTGTTCACCAACAAATATGCAAACACTAAACCCCATTAAAAGACTACGTTGCTTCATAACGAAGCTTTCATGTAGCAAGGACGGGAGCAAAATGGAAAGGAACACAAGTTTCACGTCAATGATATAAAAATGCAATTGTTTTTGAGTACCCAAACCTACTTCTTTCAGAATTCCTCGCGAGGCGTCGACGGTGCGTTCCAAGCGGAGGCGTTCTGTGAGGCAGCGTTCGTCCTGCAAGAAAAAGATGGCACAATTAAAACTATGGCTTGCCTTATAGGAAAACAAAGGAAACATATAATAAAGAATAGCCTTCTGAAACAGACCCTACAAAACGAAATCCTTAACACAAATAATCCTGTCTAGTACCTAGTAAAAATAGCCCAACAACATACGTTGAACATCCAACTAACTAAGGTCTCGAGGCAAAATCTCCCAAACCTTACCGGCGCCTCGAGAGTCATCAGAACCAAGCACGTCCTGGCTTCCCGGATCCTGAGAACGGGAAATGGAATGGCTATGAGATACCAAACATAAACAAAAGTAGCTCATGTCCATGAACGCAAACGAGCTCAAATCCACACGTCTGGCAGCACACGCGACAAAGTCCAATGTTGAAATGAGCGGTGCACACGATTATGAATTGGCAAATCCACAAACAGTTAACTCTCAAAAGCCTGGCAGGATATAATCAGACATCAGGGCTGAACCCCTTAGAGGAGTCTGGCCATTAAAATGAATCAAAATTAACTCGAGGTATAATAAGACTAGTAGGTCACCTGTGACATAGGTGAAAGAGGCAACACTATCAATATGAAATGGTACAAATAAACGGAAGATGCTCACCTGGAGCGCAGACGCTGGGTGCGCCGGAGGGCCGGCGCCTGGCAAAGATACAATTTTTATAAGTACGTGTTCACAACTAGAATACAAAACTGGCACGCATATAATTGTAGCTGCAGTGGCCAGCGTAAGGCAACACCACAGTTGTTGTGTTCATAGAAAACAGACTACCATCAAGACGTGACGGGTCAAGGAAAACAGTGATAACAAATAGGAGCACAGCGGAGGAAGGTCGTTAGATCAGAATTTACATAAGAACAATGAAGACGGTCGATGCCGGGTCAATATTTTAAGGCCACACTATATGTCAAAACTTACCGGCGCCTCGAGAGTCATCGGAACCAAGCACGTCCTGGCTTCCCGGATCCTGAGAACGGGAAATGGAATGGCTATGAGATACCAAAACACAAACAAAAGTAGCTCATGTCCATGAACGCAAACGAGCTCAAATCCACACGCCTGGCAGAACACGCGACAAAGTCCAATGTTGAAATGAGCGGTGCACACGATTATGAATCGGCAAATCCACGAACAGCAAACTCTCAAAAGCCTGGCAGGATATAATCAGACATCAGGGCTGAACCCCTTAGAGGAGTCTGGCCATTAAAATGAATCAAAATTAACTCAAGGTATAATAAGACACATGTGACATAGGTGATAGAGGCAAGACTATCAATATGAAATGGTACAAATAGACGGAAGATGCTCACCTGGAGCGCAGACGCTGGGTGCGCCGGAGGGCCGGCGCCTGGCAAAGATACAATTTTTATAAGTACGTGTTCACAACTAGAATACAAAGCTGGCACGCATATTGTAGCTGCAGTGGCCAGCGTAAGGCAACACCACAGTTGTTGTGTTCATAGAAAACAGACTACCATCAAGACGTGACGGGTCAAGGAAAACAGTGATAACAAATAGGAGCACAGCGGAAGAAGGTCGTTAGATCAGAATTTACATAAGAACAATGAAGACGGTCGATGCCGGGTCAATATTTTAAGGCCACACTATATGTCAAAACTTACCAGCGCCTCGAGAGTCATCGGAACCAAGCACGTCCTGGCTTCCCGGATCCTGAGAACGGGAAATGGAATGGCTATGAGATACCAAAACACAAACAAAAGTAGCTCATGTCCATGAACGCAAACGAGCTCAAATCCACACGCCTGGCATATACGCGACAAAGTCCAATGTTGAAATGAGCGGTGCACACGATTATGAATCGGCAAATCCACGAACAGCAAACTCTCAAAAGCCTGGCAGGATATAATCAGACATCAGGGCTGAACCCCTTAGAGGAGTCTGGCCATTAAAATGAATCAAAATTAACTCAAGGTATAATAAGACACATGTGACATAGGTGATAGAGGCAAGACTATCAATATGAAATGGTACAAATAGACGGAAGATGCTCACCTGGAGCGCAGACGCTGGGTGCGCCGGAGGGCCGGCGCCTGGCAAAGATACAATTTTTATAAGTACGTGTTCACAACTAGAATACAAAGCTGGCACGCATATTGTAGCTGCAGTGGCCAGCGTAAGGCAACACCACAGTTGTTGTGTTCATAGAAAACAGACTACCATCAAGACGTGACGGGTCAAGGAAAACAGTGATAACAAATAGGAGCACAGCGGAAGAAGGTCGTTAGATCAGAATTTACATAAGAACAATGAAGACGGTCGATGCCGGGTCAATATTTTAAGGCCACACTATATGTCAAAACTTACCAGCGCCTCGAGAGTCATCGGAACCAAGCACGTCCTGGCTTCCCGGATCCTGAGAACGGGAAATGGAATGGCTATGAGATACCAAAACACAAACAAAAGTAGCTCATGTCCATGAACGCAAACGAGCTCAAATCCACACGCCTGGCAGAACACGCGACAAAGTCCAATGTTGAAATGAGCGGTGCACACGATTATGAATCGGCAAATCCACGAACAGCAAACTCTCAAAAGCCTGGCAGGATATAATCAGACATCAGGGCTGAACCCCTTAGAGGAGTCTGGCCATTAAAATGAATCAAAATTAACTCAAGGTATAATAAGACACATGTGACATAGGTGATAGAGGCAAGACTATCAATATGAAATGGTACAAATAGACGGAAGATGCTCACCTGGAGCGCAGACGCTGGGTGCGCCGGAGGGCCGGCGCCTGGCAAAGATACAATTTTTATAAGTACGTGTTCACAACTAGAATACAAAGCTGGCACGCATATTGTAGCTGCAGTGGCCAGCGTAAGGCAACACCACAGTTGTTGTGTTCATAGAAAACAGACTACCATCAAGACGTGACGGGTCAAGGAAAACAGTGATAACAAATAGGAGCACAGCGGAAGAAGGTCGTTAGATCAGAATTTACATAAGAACAATGAAGACGGTCGATGCCGGGTCAATATTTTAAGGCCACACTATATGTCAAAACTTACCAGCGCCTCGAGAGTCATCGGAACCAAGCACGTCCTGGCTTCCCGGATCCTGAGAACGGGAAATGGAATGGCTATGAGATACCAAAACACAAACAAAAGTAGCTCATGTCCATGAACGCAAACGAGCTCAAATCAACACGCCTGGCAGAACACGCGACAAAGTCCAATGTTGAAATGAGCGGTGCACACGATTATGAATCGGCAAATCCACGAACAGCAAACTCTCAAAAGCCTGGCAGGATATAATCAGACATCAGGGCTGAACCCCTTAGAGGAGTCTGGCCATTAAAATGAATCAAAATTAACTCAAGGTATAATAAGACACATGTGACATAGGTGATAGAGGCAAGACTATCAATATGAAATGGTACAAATAGACGGAAGATGCTCACCTGGAGCGCAGACGCTGGGTGCGCCGGAGGGCCGGCGCCTGGCAAAGATACAATTTTTATAAGTACGTGTTCACAACTAGAATACAAAGCTGGCACGCATATTGTAGCTGCAGTGGCCAGCGTAAGGCAACACCACAGTTGTTGTGTTCATAGAAAACAGACTACCATCAAGACGTGACGGGTCAAGGAAAACAGTGATAACAAATAGGAGCACAGCGGAAGAAGGTCGTTAGATCAGAATTTACATAAGAACAATGAAGACGGTCGATGCCGGGTCAATATTTTAAGGCCACACTATATGTCAAAACTTACCAGCGCCTCGAGAGTCATCGGAACCAAGCACGTCCTGGCTTCCCGGATCCTGAGAACGGGAAATGGAATGGCTATGAGATACCAAAACACAAACAAAAGTAGCTCATGTCCATGAACGCAAACGAGCTCAAATCCACACGCCTGGCATATACGCGACAAAGTCCAATGTTGAAATGAGCGGTGCACACGATTATGAATCGGCAAATCCACGAACAGCAAACTCTCAAAAGCCTGGCAGGATATAATCAGACATCAGGGCTGAACCCCTTAGAGGAGTCTGGCCATTAAAATGAATCAAAATTAACTCAAGGTATAATAAGACACCTGTGACATAGGTGATAGAGGCAACACTATCAATATGAAATGGTACAAATAGACGGAAGATGCTCACCTGGAGCGCAGACGCTGGGTGCGCCGGAGGGCCGGCGCCTGGCAAAGGTACAATTTTTATAAGTACGTGTTCACAACTAGAATACAAAACTGGCACGCATATTGTAGCTGCAGTGGCCAGCGTAAGGCAACACCACAGTTGTTGAGTTCATAGAAAACAGACTACCATCAAGACGTGACGGGTCAAGGAAAACAGTGATAACAAATAGGAGCACAGCGGAGGAAGGTCGTTAGATCAGAATTTACATAAGAACAATGAAGACGGTCGATGCCGGGTCAATACTTTAAGGCCACACTATATGTCAAAACTTACCGGCGCCTCGAGCGTCATCGGAACCAAGCACGTCCTGGCTTCCCGGATCCTGAGAACGGGAAATGGAATGGCTATGAGATACCAAAACACAAACAAAAGTAGCTCATGTCCATGAACGCAAACGAGCTCAAATCCACACGCCTGGCAGCACACGCGACAAAGTCCAATGTTGAAATGAGTGGCGCACACGATTATGAATTGGCAAATCCACAAACTCTCAAAAGCCTGGCAGGATATAATCAGACATGGCTGATCCCTTTAGAGGAGTCTGGCCATTAAAATGAATCCCAATTCTCTGGAGGTATAATTACCCTATGTCACCTGTAACGAGGTGAAAGGGAAAATACAATCAGTTAGAATTAGTACTAATGAACAGAAAAAGTTCGTGGTAGAAGATGCTCACCTGGAGTGTAGAGACCAGGGATGCCGCAGATCCTGGCAAAGAGTGCAAGTTTAGAAGTAGACAATATTCACAATCAGAGTACAAATTACCATACATGTAATGGGACATGAGAGCCTCGTTAGTCCGGTCGTTTGTGTTACCAGGAAACAAAGTATCACATGGTAAAAGTAACGAGACCTGAGCGAGCAAACTACTTGTTGCACCATCTCCGTATTTCAAACATTTTTCAATATTATTTTGATTCTGTCCGTTCACTTAGCATAAGGATAACGGGAAGGCGACATAGCAGGCATGAAGGAACGAAGTAAAAACCAGAAGCACAACGATGTGGTTATAAAGGATTTTGTGTACCTCTACAGTTCGTTGAAAATAACGAACCTGAATGACGCTCGTGATTATAAATGGCAATCACAACCAAAACATTCCACGTGATCATATGCCGCTAGCATATTGCAGACACGAAGGGTTCTTACCTTCATGGTAGGACCGGATCAGGGATTCATTAAGGTTGTGAGCCGGCTCCCAGGTGATATCACTGTAGGATAAAGAGGCAATTAAAGATATTATTACTTGCATAAGAGGATAGACCAGGAGATAAATAATCAACGTCTGCCAGCATAACGGTTCATGCGCCCATGAGAAATAACGTGGAAAAAATGATGGCTTGGTTGGTGTTAAGAAACACTAACAGCATGAATAGCCAGTTTCCGCTTATTTTAATATTCTCGTCTTAACTTTCGTCCTGACTACTTTTTTTTTAATTCTCAGCAACGTTCTGTTCACTCCTGCCACTCGGAATTCCTGTCTCAAAAGCAATTCTAGGACATTTATTATTGAGTTTCAGCTCTGAAATGTAGAGACTCACAAGGACAGAGCCCCTGTTTAGCAAAATTGTTGCAGTAGCCCCGCATATTCTATCCTCCGATCACGCAAGTCCCGGTATATGCCAGACTTAAGTCTGAACTTTCAGGTACGCACAAAGCCGCGTTTGGCCTGTCCGTCAATGACTTCGGCTAGCTAAGGCCCATTACTAGCCGCAGCCATGCCCGTCAGGAGTCTTATAAACGAGCGCCCGTCGCCTCTCGAATCCTAGACTTTTACAGCCTTGACATGTGCTCCCACCTCACAGAGTCATGCTCTACCGACTGAGCTACGAGAGTGGCCGACCAGGACACTGAAGAGAAATGTGGAAATGGAAAATGGAAAAGGGAACAGATGGACATTGGAAGCTCACTAAGTTGAAGTTACGATAGGGAGGGGTTGCAGACTCATTTCATCTCGCTCTTAATTCTAAGAGCTTTGCGATATGGAGCTTACTCTTTGCTATGTTGCATGTATAATGATGCAACACCCATAATCTGTTATTCCAACAATCAATGTAACACACATCCCAAACATTTTAATCTTTATCTGACCATCCTCGGGTTTCTTTAAAGTGTGATATGGTGAAAGTGCGTTGGCCGCAATTCAACAGGGGCTAGTAATGCTAAGTTAAGTCAATTCAGCTGTGGCGACACCGTCTCTCAGTACCTACTCCATAAGAACGCTAGTAGGCGTACTCTGTGGTGTAGAAGAGTTTAATATAATAGTACTATGTAGTAGTATTATTGTCAATGATAGTTTAATCATTATACATAGTAGTACACGTTTATCGCTTTGCAGCATACAAGGTGAGCCTTCATCAATACGATAGGTGGGTTAGTGCATAAGCCCCTGACCTATTTATTGTTTTTGACACCGGAGACGACCTCGATACCTACTTAATTGTCATGTGATATTTATAGTTACTCTATCATAGCCAGCAAATAACACAAACTACAACGAAAGTAGCATTAGTTCTCACGCCGACAAATGTGTTGCCCGAGGTCATTACTGACTTTCAGCAGTCAAAGGGTTACGTCTGAGAGTTTAAAGTGCCAGACAATTCAGCTTTTCATAACGATGATCAATGATAAAACAACAACTATCATAGATATTGGATCTTCAGTAGGATGGCCAATGACAAAGCACTGTGCAATTCATACAAATTGCAGCGGGACAGATAGGTGACCAACTACCCCAGATACTATGCGAACACTGATAATTAACAACATGAAGTTACGATACAATATCAGGTGAAAACTGTAGCATTGCTTTAAAGGAAACAATAGAATTAGATACTGCACAACATACAACATATGCTTACCTGTATCCCTTCCACTTAATCTTGTAAGTGTTTCCCGTCGGATCGAACGCAAGAATTCTCTCCACAAAGTAGTACTCCTGAAAATGTAGATGTTGTTTAACTCACTCGATGTAATGCATGGCAGAAAATATTGGTGCAAAAGACATATTTCAGTGAAACACCAGCATGTTAATGATAAACATTATCAAAGATCAAGGCATAGGATCTTGGAAAGTTTTGTCCCATTTTGAAAAGGAATGCTTGCAACAATATCAGGTATAACCACCAAACTATAGTTTAAAAGCCCATGTTTTAATTCATAGTTCTCTGGATCACAAAATACATCCATGCATTGATATTACTCAAATTCATCAAATTCACTTAAAACAAATAATTGGATCAGAAACAAACACAAAACAAATGCAACTAACCTCTACATTCTTCTTGGGCCTCTTTCGCTGGCCGAGAATGGCCCGTTTCTGAAAGACAGGCATACAGCTGATCAAATAGGTATTTACTTATTTCTGTGACTAACCAAGGCCCTAGACCACTGACCAGGGGTCGGCAACCTACGGCCCGCGACCATCCAACGTCCAGCCCACGGCTGGTATCAGCAACCTACGTCCTATTTCGGCCGCGGTTCCTTCAGAAAACGATTTTTTTCCATGCAAAAAGTGACTTGAATGTGTGTTGGCACAACAGATCTTCCTACACTCAATGGGCGTAGGAACGGCTGGAATATTATATTATATATGGGTGCATGGGTGCAGAAATCCACCCATAGGCCATAGCTGCCAGGGGGGGAGGAGGACGGGCGACGGCGCCGGGTATCGTGTTCTCCTCGACGCTGGTCTTTAGGATATGTATCGCCACCGATTTTAGGAAGCTGTTTCAGGCGGAAGACTCATTGCGATCTTTGAGGGGCGTCGGATGTCGTAACTCGTAAGGATATCGAAGATTACATTTTGAAAATTTGATATTGTCAGTAATTCACGCAATAAGAGCGGCAAGCTTGGCCTGTTTCAAAAACATAGGTCAAAAGGCCTCCTAGGGTGGGTCATCGGTATGTGTTTTTACTCATTTGTACCGTTTTTATTCATTCTAGCACAAATACCTAAATGTTTTGTCTTTTGAAGACCATCGGAATAGCAAATGCTTCGAGCTGGACCAATGACAAAATATCTTGAATTCATCATGCTTCATGAGATGGGAAGTAATGTTGATGTAAAAAAGTTTTTGTTCCAGATTATTGTGGGTGCATAATACATTGCCTGCACCACTGGATAATTTTGTGGATAGCCTACGCCCATAGTTGCTACGCTTATGCACTATATGATATATAGGTTAAAGCATCTGATCAGAGAGCAAAATAGACGCAAACAATCCTCCTATTGTCAAGCTTGCTTTAACTCTGGCTCTGCCAGAATCTGCCTTAGAGGAAATATGTCACATTTAGCATGTGGTTCTGAACGGGAGAAACATTTTTGTAGCTTGAGCTGAGACTAGCACAAATCAGGAGCAGGTATGCCCCAGCGATCACCCTAGTCAAAAATATTCCATTTCTCGTTCTTAAAAGATTCCCTAGTAGAGGAATGTTTCCCTTGCAGGAGAATGCAGCCATAGTATCATCAGCCAATCAGCATGCTCCTTACAGCCAATGCAGTACGCAAAGGTTTGAACTACGCAATATGATTGGTCAACTCCTGATAAGCTTCCCCGTCAAACAGTATTTTATATAGAAGATACATAGTTCTTCCAATATGAAAATAGTTGTGAAATTCCTTAAGAAACTATTATTTGTTTCCTGATCATTTTGAGCATTAAAAATAATGAAAATGTAGCATAAAATACCTAAGGCAGGTGGAATATTCCCTTTAAAAGGTATGCTTTATCATATGACACAGGGCAGAGCATCAGAGCTATCACAATTAAAAAATAAATAAATACCGCTGTCATTTTCCCGAATGCTGCATGTGATAGCAGCAAATTGTAGCCTCCATGCTCCGGCCTGCTGGCTGCTTCCAAATCTCATATCCAGCCTGCACCCAAAAAAGGTTGCTAACCGCTGCAATAGACAAAGTGAAAACTAGCAGTTCCTAAAAGCAAAACTCTCCCAGGAAGTAGGTACACTGATGTGTGTCTTTAGCAACTTGCTGTCAGCTGACATACGTTTATATCATTAAAAAACAAGAAATGGTAGTGGAACAATTTTGCCTTGTTTAAAATGTTGACACCCAACCCATTGGCATAAGAAATACAAATTGGAACAGCACATGACTCTTATGAATCCTCTCCCCCTTCTCTGCCATCTCAAAATCTTCTGATGACAAAGTTCAAACAGCATTTGATAATCCATTCAAATTTGTTCAAACATGTTTATTTCCATGTTACCAATGTCATCAGATTTAGGTACGGTTTAAGTTGAGATATCAACATTCACATCATGTTCACTTTTACAAAGGATGATAGCCAATAGCTGAATGATCTGAATCAGGTCGAGCCTAATTTAGACCAACTAAAACCAAATTTAGCAAAGAAACGTATGATTTTAATACAGGTAGTACCAAAACTGTAATAAGTAGGTACATTTGAGATCAAAGAAAGGTCACAAAGGTTCATAGAAACTTTAATGACATTTAAATGTGACTTGTCAAGTTTTTGGACCCTTTTGGCCACATAATTTGTTTGTCGTATCCATTAAGCCATGCAAGGCCATTTTCAGCAAGCTATAAGTGAAGCCAAATCAATGGCAGTCTGCCGATGCAGTCATTAGTCATACTCTCCAGTATCTTATAATATTATTATCATGAAATATTTAGCCATATATCTCCAGATCTCAATTTTAATTACAAGTATTGTCTTATACATAGGTATTGTGTGGCCTGTAATAACAAAATGAAGCAGGGTATGAGACAAGTCAGCTATTTTGGTATACCTATGTGAAGATGAAGTCCGAGTGGTATGTAGGTTTATAGGTTAGCAGTTGGTAGGTTGCAAGTTGCAGGCATTATTGCAGTTTGTAGGTTGGTACTTTAAGGTTGGTAGGTTAGTAGGTAAGGTTAAATTGTTTTTATCTAGTCGGAATTCATCTTCAGAGTTGCCACCAGTTCTTATATCAACCAAAAATATTTTAAATTGGATCAACATTGCACAAAACACGTCAATGGTTTCCCAAAAATCTTAAACAAAATCAAGTCACAAATGATATTTTTTCCTAATCTGCTAGGGCTTTATAAACAAATGACTCCTACTCAAACATCAAAATGTAACCAGACACACCAGAAGCACAGACTTTCATATATAAATTGAATATTGATGCGAATATAAGACTTGCCAACACTAAGAACAGGAAAGCTGTGAACAAATAATAATAATAACAAACGTGAATCTACAGACGGCCTGGAACGTGACTACCGCCAAGGCGGTGTTTCACGGGACGCTGCTACCACGCTGCTATCAAATTGCGCGAGCTGACGTCACACTTGCGGTAGTGTTGGAGCAATGGGCCTGTTGATGTTTCCATGGAAACCCAATTTGACACGTGTAAAAGCAGCGTGCTGCTATCACCGGTGAAACAGGGCCCAAGAGTGGAATCAGAAAACAGGGCCCTGTTCGGTCGCATTTCTTTTTCAGCAGGCTGCGAACATGCTGCTATTTCTTGGCCTCTCATTGGTCTAACAAATAGACCACTTGAATTCGACCAATGAGGAGCCAAGAAGTAGCAGCATGCTCGCAGCCTGCTGATAAAAAACTGCAACCGAACAGCGCCCGGGATTCAGATTCATAAGTATTTTGTAGGTGCATAAACAGTTTGGGCTGGAATTCTGGAATCTGGATTCTGAGCTGTCGCAGTGAGTACGGAGTTGAATATTAAACTAAAGTCAGTCAAAATATTGTTTGATTCGCATTCGCAAGCAAATCTTACCTATCACGCAGCCTCTTTACTCAATAGGTATAGTAGGTAGGTAGGTACGTAGTCACAACTCAAGCATGATCTAAGATCCTAGTTTATTTTTAAAGAATTTTAATGCCATACAAACAACAGACGTTTTTGATCCAGAATCAAACATAATAGTGACATTTAAAAAATAGATTTATAGGATATTGGCCAATGGGGTATTAGTACACCAAATGTTTAATGCAGGTTGTGGGTCGATACTCCGCGAGCCGCAGGACGCAGGTTGATATGTTATAGGTTAGTAGGTAAGGTTAGATGGTTAGGATAGTTTATCATCATTGGTTTTTATCCACACTTAATGGGTACCTGCATATGTCTGGATGGATTGATATTTACCAACCTTGACTTGGTATTAGTATATATTAGGTCCGAGTGGACAATTGTGACGCTGTTGATACAAATATGTAACAGCAAAAAAATTCGGTTTTAGGTTAGGTTAGGTTGTAGGTTTGTAGGTTTTAGGTTTTAGGTTGGTAGGTTTGTAGGTTAGGTTAGGTTAGGTTGTAGGTTTGTAGGTTGTAGGTTGGTAGGTTGTAGGTAAATACGTAAGGTTAGGTCAGGTTTAAGTTTTTCTTTTATTTCCAGGACATATAAGTATCATTTTTGGATTCAGGATGTCAAATTATGTAAGAATAAGAAAACATTATCTTTTAAAAGGCACTCGGACTTAATGTATACTTTTACCCCTGGACTTCAGGAATAGCAGCAGAATCATTTTTAGTGCACTTCAACTAACCACATTTTATTGTTTCTCGACAACAGTCGAGTTGAACAAAATGGCTAACGGCATTTTCTTTGCTAATCAAATACCTATATCAGCAACACTCATACCCATGCAATATCCAAAATCAATGTGAAAGAAAAGAAAAACTGTCACTAGGTGGCAAGGCTGCAGAATTTTGCAGGGTTAAGCTTGCGTGGTGAAGGAAAACGAGGTCTAAAAATAGATTATAATGCCTCATGACTCAGATTATTGCCATACTAACAATTAATATATCAGATGATAATATCCTCCTCACAATTTAAAATTAGACGTCAAAGCATAAGCAAGGCAAGGTTCTTGCAACAAAACTACACTGTGAGGCTCAGTAGTTGATGTGACCACCTTGAGCGGAACCAAGGCGATAGATACTAGGTGGGGTCATTAGAAATCATGCCCATGCCAAGCTGATATCAATGTTAACACTGGCAGGAGTTGAGAAAGCATTAATCAAATAACACTAGACATTAAGATTGTTTTTTAGTCAGTGTTCCCAAAATTGACAAAAATCCCCAAACAATATATCTATTCAAGAGGCTTCCTAAAAAAATATTCATGATCATATCATTTTCACAGGTAGACATCAGGCCGAAACACATTGAAGAAATTCCGACTACAGCTTCAGCAGGCCCAACTTGACAACTCTTAGTAAATATTGAATACACTGTCAACCATGTCAATATATTGATAATGATAAAGCCTCTCTATTCTTGGGAAAAGCCCCAAATCAGGATAACAAGCTTAACATACTTCGTGCCTCCACCTACACCTAGCGCTGTTGCAATGCCATGCTCTTGAGCTTCTGAAAAAGTGAAATAATGCAAAGGACAATCATACAGACAATGTATCGCTGAAAGCTTACCTTTCTCTTTCCAGCCATTGCTAAACTATCTTCTGATCGCAAAAAAACACCACACGACGCCAACACCGCTACCAGCAATCTTGCCAGCAATGGCGCCAAACAGAAAGTTCTCGGCGTCGCAACCGTTGCTAACCAAGCGGCTTCGGCCTAGCAACAGCTGACGACGAATAAGTACTGACTGTATTTCATGGACGACCAATCAGAACAGA